ATGGCTATACCAAAGGAAACAGAGAGTTAGTATAAATGGAATCAAGTCAGAGTGGGAAAATGTTGTAAGTGGAGTGCCTCAAGGCTCTGTCCTGGGACCTCTGTTGTTTATAATATATATAAATGATTTAGATTCAGGTTTGAGTAGCAACATTTGCAAATTTGCCGATGATACGAAAATCGGTAGGGAAATTAATTCGGAGGAGGACTCACTATCACTTCAAGTTGATCTAGATAGGGTTTTGAAATGGTCAAAGGATTGGCAGATGCAGTTTAATGCTGATAAATGTAAAGTTCTGAGGTTAGGTAATGATGATAGAGTTACAAGATACGAGCTAGATGGTGTTGTGATTGCGAAGTCGGATTGCGAAAGGGATCTGGGAGTTATGATTAGTAAGAATTTAAAACAAAAGGATCAATGCATAAATGTTCGTAATAAGGCAAATCGGACACTTGGATTTATTAATCGCAGCGTTAGTAACAAGACACCTGGTGTGGTTCTCAAGCTATATCTTGCTCTAGTTAGGCCCCATTTAGATTATGCAGTTCAGTTTTGGTCGCCATATTATAGAATGGATATAAATTCACTTGAACGTGTCCAGCGTAGGATGACTAAGTTAATTCCCCAAATTAGAAATCTTTCATATGAAGAAAGATTAACAAAGCTTAAGTTGCATTCACTGGAAAGGCGAAGAGTTAGGGGTGACATGATAGAGGTTTACAAGTGGATGAATGGACATAACCGGGGGGATATTAATAGGGTATTAAAAGTATCAACACAGGACAGAACACGAAACAATGGATATAAATTGGATAAGTTTAGATTTAGGAAAGACTTGGGTAAATACTGGTTCAGTAACAGGGTTGTTGATTTGTGGAACCAATTGCCGCGTAACATTGTGGAGGTGGGGTCCCTCGATTGTTTCAAGCACGGGTTGGACAAGTATATGAGTGGGATTGGGTGGTTATAGAATAGGAGCTGCCTCGTATGGGCCAATAGGCCTTCTGCAGTTACCTTTGTTCTTATGTTCTTATGTTCTTCTTATTATTAGCTTTTTCGTTTAATTCAATCCAAATAGTTTCTGTGTGTGGCTCTGTTTTGATTCCCTCTTTGGGACTACATTTCAAATTGTCCCTAACATATATGGCTACTCCACCTCCTCGTCTAATATATCTATCTGTGTGAAATAGTTTAAATCCATATATTTGATATTCAGCTAATAGTTCTCTATTTTCTACATTCATCCACGTTTCGGTAAGTGCAATAATATCTATTTTTTTCTGTGCAGACAAGAGCATTTAATTCGTTAATTTTATTTCTTAGACTTCTACTGTTAGTGTAATATACCCTAAGTGAATTGTTATTTTGCGGACCTTCTCTTTCCCTGATCGTTTTGCCAATTCCTTTCTCCCACAAACACATACTTTTATTACCTCCTTCCTCCAAATCAATTCCCATACCTCTATCTACTAACAGTTTAAACCCAAACAAACACCTCTAACCACTTCTTCTAGCGAGTTCGCAACAGCAACAACCCCAGCTCTCGATAGATGCACCCCATCACGAGCATACATTTCATTTCTTCCATAGAAGTGTTCCCAGTTGTCTATGAAAGATATTGCATTTGATTTGCAATATCTTTCCAGCCGGCAATTGACACCAAGTGCCCTCGATATCCATTCATTTCCCACTCCCTTTCTTGGAAGAATGCCACATATGATCGGGATTCCTCCCTTGCTCCTAACTAACTCTATGGCTGTTTTATACCTCTGAATCAGTTCCTCACTCCTGACTCGACCAACATCATTTCCTCCCACGCTAATGCAAATAATGGGATTGTTCCCATTACCAGCCATAATATCATTCATGTTGTTTATAATATCACCAATGCCAGCTCCGGGATAGCAAACCCTTAACCTGTTCCCCCTATCTCTAGCACAAAACGTTCTATCCAAATACCTTATCTGGGAATCTCCCACAACTAATGTTTGCTTAGGTACTTCCTTTACTTTCTGAGGGGCCTGCGCTTCCTTTCTCTTAGTTGCTTTCCCTTTTGCGCGATCCACAGTCTCTCCACAGCACTCGTCCTCCAAAACGTCAAATGAATTTGAAGTTGCTATGGCGTTTGAAGGCGGCTTTATCAAAGTCTTCTTAAGGCCCCTGTCTTTCGCAACTCTCCAAGACGAGGTCCCTTTACTGCTGGTCTCCTCCTTCGTTACTTCTCGTTGTTTTTTAAGCTGACGCACCTCCTCCCGCAGAGAGTCCAACTCTGTCCTCAGGGCTCCCACTAGAGTCACCAGGTCCTTCACTACAACTTCCATATTGCTATGATAATATAACAACACTCAGGAGCTCCGGTTAACACAACCTCTCACTGTGACTTCACCTGACCGACTGAAGTTCTCATTATTACTACTATCCCCTAGACCTTACTTTCCTCCTCAGCTCTCTCTTGCCTATTTATTGACTGTCCCTACTTCCTCATCACAATCGACTTGAGAATGGTCCAGGACGGACCGAAACGTCGTCGTCCCTTCATCTTCTAGTGTGTGGTCTGGTCAACATACTTCAGCCACGTTATTGTGACTCATCGCCTGCATATGTTTACAGGCTGCCACCGAGCCTAGAATGCAAGTTCTGCTCGATGCTTTTGCTACTAGAGCTGAGGAATGTGGCCTCCTTATCTCTGTACAGGAAACTCGTGCCCTCATTCCATGTGGTATTCCACCACCCAATTATTATATAGATGGGCGAGCACTTGAGAACTGCGAGTCTTACAGATACCTTGGTGTCCCCATTAACGACCCTGGGTACCTTTCTTCTCTCAAGAGGAGACTTTGGGAGAGATTAAAGCCCTTGCGGGTCCTTGTTGGTGTCAATCATAGACTTAACGTGAGACTTGCTAGAATGTTTTATGTATCATTTATACGCTCTGTGATTGACTACAATGCTCTACATCTCACACTGTATACTGACAAAGAGCTGAAATCTCTTGAAACCTTGCAAAATGAAGCTATGCGTCTCATCCTTAGAGCTCCAAAGTCCACGAAAATAGTTAATATGAGAGCAGAGTTAAAATTACCTACCATAAGTGAGAGAATTTTGTCTATAAGTTTCAAGCTAAACTTTCTAATATGCTGCACTCACCTGAGGTCTATAGAAGAAGAGCGAAATCTGATTATGCATTTTGGTTCTACAAGGTAGCCAACTCCATCAAAATATTAAATATGTACTCAACTCAATGATTAATCAACCAATTACTCCATGGGATAACTGGGATCTATCAGTTGATTTTGTAAATGCACCCAAAATAGATAGTGTACACTCTAGATTATTAAAGCATCACTGAGAACACTCAGAGAATGAGTAACGATGTATATCAGTGCTATACCGACGGCTCTGTAGAAGAAGGTGGACGATATACCGGTTGCGTACGTAATATATTTGAACAATCTTCTCTCGTACATACAGCAATGAAGCGCGTCAATGACTGGGCAAGTACAACTCAAACCGACCGAACTTGCAGGCATATACCTTGCCACTGAATTTTTAAAAGACAAAGGCAGTGGACTTGTATACTGTGACTCGCAGAGTGCACTCCTGGCATTGAACGCACATAGCAGTAACACCCATAAAATAGTCAGTGATATTCGAATGAATGTTTTAGCTGCTAAAGAAAACAGATTTGAAATTCAATTCCTATGGATACCATTACATGTTGGCATCTCAAGGCATGACATTGTTGATATGCTTGCAAAGGCAGCCTGTAGAAAACCAGTGGTAGAAATTGATATGGTGTTTCATTAGCAGTGACAAAGAGAATACTTAAACAAATATCTAATGAAAATCTCACCGACCTAACAAATTCACAAAGACCTGAAAATTGTAGCATTAAATATTATGATAGATATCGTGAGGTGACATTCACATATGGGACTAATAGAACAAGAACCCGGCAATGTGATGTTATAGTGGCCAGAATACGCCTGGGATATATAGACGTATCTGGCAGCTTTCTCAAAACCCAAATGTCGAGTACACAATGTGTCAACTTTGTGAAAGAGAAAACATGCACTCTCTTGAACATTATATTGTAGAATGTCCCATACTGACTGACTTTGCCCTCCTGGGCTAAGGTATGCTGAACTCTGTAGTTACTATATGAGTACTGGAACACTTGATGATATATTGGACTTGTATCCAAGATTGACCATGTAATGTATCAATTATACAATGTATATATATGATGTAACTATATAACCTGAGCTTGTAAAAGCATCTTGATCACCTTCAGTGGTTAAGTGCTTAATTGCACACTAGTTTCTCTATCAGCTATCTCACCCTGTCAGAGTAAAAGAGACAAATGTATGTGTATGTGTGTATATATATGTGTATATGCATATGTACGTATATGTGTGTGTGTGTGTATGTATGTATGTGTATAAAGTATATGTGGAAGCTGATCAGAATTACATTTCATTTTTGTAAATGCACATTAATGACACTATGTAAAAGACACATCGAACCCATTATGTAGGGCATACGTAAATCTGTGTATCTATATATTTACGTATGTAGGTTAGCTTAGCATTTTAAAGGCACTACAATCACCTTCTGTGCTTGATTGTTCAATAAACCCTTGAACTATATGGTTAACAAATCTCCAACCCTGTCCATGGAGGACAGGAGAAAATGTATACATGCTGATTAGCATTGTTAATGTGTGGCCACGTCTGTGGTAGAAAATAATAATAATAACACACCGCTGTGTGAACACCGCCTCACACCGCTGTGTGAACACCGCCTCACACCGCTGTGTGAACACCGCCTCACACCGCTGTGTGAACACCGCCTCACACCGCTGTGTGAACACCGCCTCACACCGCCTCACACCGCTGTGTGAACACCGCCTCACACCGCTGTGTGAACACCGCCTCACACCGCTGTTTGCACGCGGTGTTCACTAACACTTGACCTCACAACACAAAAGAGGAACCCACCCATCCGCTGGGCGTCCTGCACCACACTGAGCTACGGACAGTTCACACACTAAAACATGATAACACATGATAACACACTAAGCCATGATAACTGGATGACGCCGCCCATCAACGTCACCAGAGTGGGATTTAACAGGCGATTACACAGAGCTCAGCTAGCATGTGTCTGTACGTAGGTGTTCCTTTATGTTACCACTAGCCCCTATCATGCATGGACAAAAGTAGTTATTCCTGAGCCGTTGCTTTTCATAGTAGGTTGTATTTGTAACGTTGGTCACTATGACAGAAAACGCGACCAATTAATAGGGAGAAAACGGGTACAGGGAGAGAGGTCGTTTTAGCAGCCATTTTCTAGACCATTCCTCCAGTTTGTCCAGGTCATCCTGTAGTCTCTGTCTATCTTCATCCGTCTTGATTCTTCTCATAATTTTTGCATCATCAGCAAACATTGAGAGGAATGAGGCTATACTCTCTGGAAGATTGTTTACATATATTAGAAACAGGATATGTCCGAGTAGATGGGTCCCCTGTGGAACCCCGCTGGTGACATCTTGCCAATTCTGATTCTGATGCCTCCCCCCCCCCTCACAGTTACTCGCTGTTTCCTGTTGCTTAGATACTCCCTTCTCCACTGGAGCACCTTACCTTTTACTCCTGCCTGTTGCTCCAACTTTTTTAACAGCCTTTTATGGAGTACTGTGTCAAAGGCTTTCTGACAGTCCAAGAAAATGCAGTCTGCCCACCCTTCTCTTTCTTGTCTAATTTTTGTTGCTTGGTAATAGAATTCTATTAAACCCGTGAGGCACGATTTACCATCTCTGAACCCATGTTGGTGGTGTGTCACAAAGCTATTTCCCTCCAGGTGCTCTACGAGCCTTTTCCTCACGATCTTCTCCATCACCTTGCATGGTATACAAGTTAAGGAAACTGGCGTATAGTTCAGTGCCTCTTGCCTGTCACCCTTGTATATTGAGACTACATTAGCTGTCTTCCAATTTTCCGGTAGGTCTCCTGTTTCCAGTGATCTGTTATGCACCATAGAGAGTGGCACACTTAGTGCTTCTGCACCTTCTTTTAGTATCCACGGTGAGATCCTGTCAGGCCCAGCAGCTTTTGTCACATTTAGCTCCAACAGACTCCTTTTCACCTCATCACTGGTGGGGTCAAATTCCTCCAAGGTTGCTTGGTTTGCCTCCTCATTTAGTGCAGGGACTTCTTGTTCGATTGTGAAACCTCCAGGAATCTCTTGTTGAGTTCTTCACACACCTTGTTGTGAATCTATTTTGCCATTTTTTTTAGTTTCATCGCTTGTTCCTTCACCGCTGTTTTCCTCCGGATGTGGCTGTGGAGCAGTTTTGGTTGAGTCTTGGCTTTACTCGCGATGTCATTTTCATACTCTCTCTCTGCTTCTCTCCTCACTCTGAGGTAGTCATTTCTTACTCTCTGGTATCTCTCCCTTGTGTTGGATAACGTATACTTGTCTTTTTTTTTATCTTAAAATGTAATGTGTATGTTTATTCCACAATATTTTTTGTACTTTAAAATAATTTTTTTTTTATATAAGATTCATTACATAGCGAGGTATACCTAGCTTTTCGGTGTTTACTAAGTTTACATTAGTCTTAACTATGGTCAGTAATATAACATAGGTGCTTATTAGTCAATATAAGGAGGTGTGGTGACCATAATAACTCTCCAGAGGGTGATAGACGTGAAGCCCAACACCAAGCCAATGCGTTATCTTGGTGCACCATCACTGATGTTATTGTTTGAACACTGCGTGCGTCACACCTCCCTTCCCGCCATTATTGTCTCAGATATGGAGAGTCCCTGTAATGTTGACCTCATGGTTAGTTGGACTGTGTCTTTGTTGATCGTTGATGTGACCTCTAGGTTATTCTAGTGTGTGTTCCTGCTTGCATGATAGCTCTAGGACCCCGCCTTTTTAATCGTCGCTTTTTAACGAATTGACTCAATTTATTTTTCTCTATCATATCTGTTGTATACATTCTCTCTCTCTCTCTCTCTCTCTCTCTCTCTCTCTCTCTCTCTCTCTCTCTCTCTCTCTCTCTCTCTCTCTCTCTCTCTCTCTCTCTCTCTCATACTAATACATCATCCGGCAGTACAACGACTCCATTTTCTCTGCCTACAGTTTGCCATCTTTCATGCCATTTTCAGCAACCTCAGCCTAGCTCACATTATTAGCATTTTCAATAATCTCAGCTCAGACCCCATTATTCTCAACATTTTCATAAACCTCAGCCTAGCCCCAATTATTCTTGCCATTTTGAACAAGCGCAGCCATTTTCATTAATCTCAGTCTAGCCTCCACTATTCTTAACATTTTCAGCAACCTCAGCCCAGATTATTCGTGCCATTTTAAACACAGCAGCCTAGCCTCCAGTATTTGTGCCATTTTCAGCAATCACAGCCTAGACCCTCATTATTCGTGCTATTTTCAGCAACCACAGCCTAGCCCTCATTATTCGTGCTATTTTCAGCAACCACAGCCTAGCCCTCATTATTCGTGCTATTTTCAGCAACCACAGCCTAGCCCTCATTATTCGTGCTATTTTCAGCAACCACAGCCTAGCCCTCATTATTCGTGCTATTTTCAGCAACCACAGCCTAGCCCTCATTATTCGTGCTATTTTCAGCAACCACAGCCTAGCCCTCATTATTCGTGCCATTTTCAGCAACCACAGCCTAGCCCTCATTATTCGTGCCATTTTAAACACAGCAGCCTAGCCTCCAGTATTTGTGCTATTTTCAGCAACCACAGCCTAGCCCTCATTATTCGTGCTATTTTCAATATTATCAGCCTAGCCCCATTCTTCTTGCCATTTTCAGCATCCCCATCTTACCCTTCAATATTCTTGCTATTTTCATGAACTTCAGCCTAGCTCTCATTATTCTTGCCATTTTGAGCAACCTCAGCCATGGCCTCATTATTCTTGTCATTTCACTAATCTTGGTATAGGCCCAATTATTCTTCCCATATTCTGCAACCTCAGCCTAGCCATTCTGCAATCCAGGGAGCCGGTGGCTGAGCGGACAGAATACTAGACGCGTGATCCTGTGGTCCCGGGCGCTGGCGAGAAACAATGGCCAGAGTTTCTTTCACCCTGATGCCCCTGTTACCTAGCAGTAAATAGGTACATGGGTATTAGTCAGCTGTCACGGGCTGCTTCCTGGGGGTGGAGGTCTGGTCGAGGACCGGGCCGCTGGGACACTAAAGCCCCGAAATCATCTCAAGAAGATAACTCAAGATATAGCCACCATTATTCTTGCTAGTTCATCCCATCCTCTTGTTTTGGTAGTACTTATAGTAACGATGAGGACCATAGTACATATACCGACATACAAAGAAATTAAAAGTAAAAACCGGCACTATTGAGTTGGATAAACCGGAGAACTATTTTTTACTTGTGTTGCTTTGATAAACTAAACTACCCTAACCTAACCTTCCTAAGCCCAATACACGATATCTGAGGCCTAATATATTACATGTGTGTGCTAAACTAGGTCTAGGAATAGTTAAGTTTGTTTTCATCTTCATTGTTTTTTTTTAAAGAATTCCTTACTAGTCAGTATACTATTATCTAATATTTAAGTACGTACGAATTCGAGATTATTGAGGCTCGTCACACTAGGTACTATCTAAACAGGAAGATGGGTTGCAGCTAGTTTCACTAATTTCCGTCTAGCCTTCATTATTCTTGCCATTTTCAATAATCTCAGCTCAGACCCCCATTATTCTCACCATTTTCTTTAACCTAGCCCCTATTTTTCTTGCCATTTTCTGAGACCTCAGCCTAGCCTTTATTGATTTAAACATTTTCAACATTCTCAGCCCTGCTCCCGTTATTCTTGGCATTTTCAACAATTTCGGCTTATCCCCCGTTCTTCTAGCCATTGTCGGCTTATCCCCCGTTCTTCCAGCCATTTTCGGCTTATCCCCCGTTCTTCTAGCCATTTTCGGCTTATCCCCCGTTCTTCTAGCCATTTTCGGCTTATCCCCCGTTCTTCTAGCCATTTTTGGCTTATCCCCCGTTCTTCCAGCCATTTTTGGCGTATCCCCCGTTCTTCCAGCCATTTTTGGCTTATCCCCCGTTCTTCCAGCCATTTTTGGCTTATCCCCCGTTCTTCCAGCCATTTTCTAGAACTTCAGTCTCGCCCCCATTATTCTTAACATTTGAAGCAACCTCAGCTGTGCCTCTATTATTCCTGCCATTTTCAGCAACTTCAATGTAGCCTCCAATGTTTTTACCATTTTCAACAACCTCACCCTAGCGCCCATTCATTATTCCTGCCAGTTTGCGAGTCCTCAGCGCAGCTTTTATTCAGATGAAGTCGCAGTAACGTGGCTGAAAAATGTTGACCAAACCACACACACTAGAAATTGAAGTGACAACGACGTCTCGGTCCGTCCTGAACCATTATCAAGTCGATTGTGATAATCACAGTCGACTTGATAATGGTCCAGGATGGACCCAAACATAAGAACATAAGAACAAAGGCAACTGCAGAAGGCCTATTGGCCCATACGAGGCAGCTCCTATTTATAACCACCCAATCCCACTCATATACTTGTCCAACCCGCGCTTGAAACAATCGAGGGACCCCACCTCCAGCACGTTACGCGGTAATTGGTTCCACAAATCAACAACCCTGTTACTGAACCAGTATTTACCCAAGTCTTTCCTAAATCTAAACTTATCCAATATATACCCATTGTTTCGTGTTCTGTCTTGTGTTGATACTTTTAATACCCTATTAATATCCCCTTTGTTATGTCCATACACCCACTTGTAAACCTCTATCATGTCACCCCTAACTCTTCGCCTTTCCAGTGAATGCAACTTAAGCTTTGTTAATCTTTCTTCATATGAAAGATTTCTAATTTGGGGAATTAACTTAGTCATCCTACGCTGGACACGTTCAAGTGAATTTATATCCATTCTATAATATGGCGACCAAAACTGAACTGCATAATCTAAATGAGGCCTAACTAGAGCAAGATATAGCTTGAGAACCACACCAGG